ATAATTATTGACAATATGTTTTTGTAATAAATAATTAGGGCATACCCAAATAATATACATGTCTATTTTTTGACAGAGAGTCTTTTCAAACATTGGAGTCGAAACATCCCGCATGGTACTGATGGTCCAAGAGGCTACAGGGTCGAATAATTAGTTAGAGATTGCTTCAATCCCCATTCAACTATTGATTGAATACAGACTCTATCTATTCAAAATCGGACATTAAAACATAAAAGCAAAAAGAGTTAGAAACCAAAGCATATCTAAAGGGAGCCAAAAATGGAGTGGTACTGGAAAAGGCACTAGGACACGTAGGTTCATAACCAAGCTGGATAGGTAGAAAGCATGGTGAGAAAAACTATTATTCAACAGGGCATGGTAGTTTTGGAACATACTTATTATAGGCCAAGTGATGAAACTGAAATATACCTGATGAATATCCATTTCAACGTTTTTGAATAACACTTCATCGTGAGATAAAAAAAAGAAAAATTATGAATACTCTGACCTGTTACTTGATGAAAATTAATAACACTATCTATGATAGTAACTATGAAATATTCACAATGAATTTTATTCAAAACGAGTTTCACCACATACACGGCAGTTACCAGTAACTGATGTGACCATCAGTCACCAGTAACTGATGAAGCTACTATGTAGCGAAACACGTTTTGAATAAAATTTATTTTGAAAATTCTATAATTATTATCGTGGATAAGTAAGAAAAAAGCTATTGTATGGTGAAATAGGTATCAGTTTTTTCAAACTTCACAAGTATATTTGAGTGCCCATACACTCGAACAATAGTCCAGAAAAAGTGTGACCTGTTAAAATGCTTTGTCATAAATTCAAGGAACAAACCGTAATGAATCACAAACCCTGTGATTATCTGACTCAAATGTAACAGACATTAAAAAGTTAAACAGAGACTTGAAAATGATTTGTACCTTCAATCCAATTGTATGTTAGAATCATATCATAATAGAAAGTGCAGTGTCCATTTTCATTGTCAAATAGCAAAAGTTACCTTCTTTCATTATGCGAAATAGTCCCCTGCTCTAGTTTAGCCGATAAAGATGACAATAGTTTACAAGCATCGTTAGCAAAATCCAAATCTCTAACTTCAACGGGAGAAACAGCTATTAAAGCAAAGGCTTCTTTATCTTCCTTCATTACTGCACATCCCACTTTGGACATCACAGGCTTCTCTTCATCTTTATCGATTGATTCAGAAGTAGAATGTACCCAACTCTTTGTGAATATATGATGTAATCTCACATAACTTGACTGTGGCACTAGAGAGTCTCCCCTGGTTAAGCTGGTTGCATCCAATTCAAATAGAGTAGCAATGTCATAGATGTTTCCCAAAGGGACAAGATGGTAGGAGAGTGTTTCAGATATTTCATTCAGATTTTTTTTATCTTCATCGATATCATGATCATTGTCAACATCAGCAGCCAAATATTGTCCTGTTGCTAAATGCTTGAATCGAAATACAGAATCCCAGTGACCAGCTCCTCCTCGGCATGGATCGAGTTGTACTACTTCAACTTCCCATAGAGCTAGATAAAAAATTAAAACCATTCATTGAAAAATACATATCTAATGAAAACTATTTAAAATATTTGCCTCTATCATATCCTATTTGTAAATAAAATAGGTACTTGGTTAGATTAATTAAATAAATAATAACGAAATATAAGAATGAATTCAAGTGATCCCATAGAAGAAATTCCGTCAAAAAAGACGGGTTCGAATTCCAACTACTGGATTACTTTCAATGAAAAAAATATTTTTGATTATATTTTCCCGGCTAAATTACTTTGCATACAATGTGCATTTGAATGTCAAGCGAGAGTAGAGTAATTTATATCATCTGTTTGAGCAGTAATTTTTATTTTGGACATATAAAAGTGTGCACCATTTTTCCACTATTCTTCTGGCCCTACTTTAAATGATTACAAATGATACAATAAAATTATGTTTTGAATACTGCGGAGAGAAGGAAGAGGGTATAGGTGAAAGCACTAGAGTGGCCTATAAATGGTCAGATCTCTGAGGAATAAGTCCAGTTATCATTTCTTGTTGATAATTTTTTTAATTTTCATCTCGTGTTGATAGTTCTTTATTTTATTTTTTGGTTGTTACTTGTATTTCATTTCATTATAATTTAAGTTTTTTTGCTTAATATAATTGTTATTTTTTATCTAACCTTTTTAATTTTTTACAGATTCTTTCAAGGATTTCAAATCAATTTATATACATTTTCAATCGATGAAGAATGTTAAAGAGCATTTGAATAACTCAAAGAAGTGTTATTACAATTACCCAATTTTGATGAAGCATTCATTCTTACAACGGACGCCATCGCATTCGCCCTTGGAGCAATTTTGTCACGACTAGACCAATATCTCCTAATCGCTTATGCATCAAGAACTGCAGAAACAAAATATTACACCTCTGAAAGAGAACTCGCTTCATATCACATGAAGGTCAACCATTTCAAAGATGCTTTTAAAATTCACAAAAAGATATTTTCCGTGAAACCGCAAATATTACATCATTGCAACGCCTTTTGATCTAAATGACGCCCTATCACATATGTTTCTATCGATTTATCTCGATCAAAATGAATTCAAATCATCTGAAACATATCACGTAGAAAATAATCCCGACCTACCTTTACAAGAAATTTGGTCATATTCTAGAGAACGTCGAAAATTAAAAGTTCATATTTTGTGAAAATATTATTTCAACATACGAACTTGACCAAATACCCATTTAGATAGCTCAATATCATAATGATGAAGTCAACCTACATAGAGGTATATATGAAACTCTACGAAGAATAAATCCAAATTATGAAGGGCAAAACATAACTGAAAACGAAAAAATATATATAGAAGAATGTGAAATGTCAAAAAAAATGTAGGAAAAACCTCGATAATTACTTTTCTTTGTAGTTACTGAAATACCAAAATCATGTTGTGAAAGAATCAACATTGATATTTTATAACTTCCAACTGATAACTATATCTTAACTATTAAACATGAACTCACAAAGTTCACTCAAGCCTATCATTTAGAAAAAAAATCCGCCAAATCAGTCATTCACGCCCTCATGATATACTTCCAACATTATGGAACACCTCGTAGAATCCTTTTCTATTCAAGCAGATAATTCAATCTATGTCAATTTCATGATATGAAAGTAAGCTTTTCAAGTACTGACCATCCCCAATAGAATGTATCTTTTGAACGCTTTCATGCCACTCTGACAGAAATGATTCGAGCATACCTGGCGGAAACCCTTAATAAATACTCAATCCCCCTAAGAAAATCATTAAATCATAACCAAAACGTACTAAATGAAATCATCCTAGTTTTAGAAATTGATAAACCAAGGTCTTACCTTTAAATTAATGTCAAAGTACACACAAGTAAGCTGAATCAAATTTCAAACTCTCATGAATCAAAGTATTCTCAAATAAAAATAATTGAAACAATTGAACTAGTTGAGCGTCTCTTATACAGAAACCATGTTAATCCTGTAGTGAAACTGGAACTTTTTGAGTTACTTACTATTTGTATTTCAAAATTAATTTCAATGTAATGGAAAGTTTCATTCATGCAGCAAAAGGCTAATAATGGGAAACTCTGTGAGTCCTTCACTATCTGACATTTTCATAGACAACCTTGTAAATGGAATTCATAATAATCAGTCGATTAACAGTTTTATATATGTTGATTTCTCAGTCTCTTTTACTGGTACAGGAAGGTAGTTGGGCGAGTTTGTCAAATTTGTTAAAACCATTCACCCATTAACTGAATTTACCGCTGGGATGGAGTTAAATAATTCAATTCGAGACGTGACTATTACCAAAATTAATAATATGATCACATTTCCACAAACTCTACTAAAGTCTACGCACACTGCGACAGGACGGCACAGGACGGAAACATGATGGGTCGTGGCCTTCGAGAAGAGACAGCACGGCATTGGCCTGGCCCGTCGTCTTCGTCCATTGCCTGCCTATGAAATGATACATTTGGAAGAGAAAAGTTTTAAACTCAATCTTTTTGGTTTATTGGTTTGTCAGATGATACCATTTCTCTCGTATTCAGAGAGGTACTTTATTTTTGTGGTCTATATTGGAACCACAAAAAGAATTTATGTACCTGGCTTAATATCTGTTATGAGGACAACTGGAGAACTTCGTTACCTCATCGCCTTTGATGTCTACCGCAGTCGTACGGATACGGCCAAAAACACGAAATATGGATTTAATACAACTTCCAGACAATAAAGCCATTATTGTTTGCAATAGTAAATAGTCTTCTATATTTACATTCACTGTGACACTGTGAATGGCACTGTGAACATCTAGTAGAAGGGGCTCGTGGTTATTTGACAGTTTAAGTGGTATTTCTATCAAAACTGGTATCTGCATAATATATTGGCAGTAGGGAGAAGTGAGCATATAGAGAACAATTAAATGTTATATTATTTAACAGTGTGATTGATAAACTTTGTATTCAATTGATCACGTCATTCCAAACCTCTAAAGCACTGTTGCCAGAACTGTACCTCATATTTTACTCAAAATGGAAACAAGAGGACGGAGTAACACGGGAACAAGTTCTCTCGATAATGAAACAATTGATACTATGATCAGCAAATTAGCACCAAAGTTGATTGAGAAACTTGGCAAGAAAATTGACGAAAAACTGAGGAACATAGAGATTACACTGAATGATGTCATCCAAAAGGTATCTTCAATGGAGGTAATGATGAGGGCAAGTGATAAAGGTGTTAATTTGGTGAACAAAAGGCAGAATATCATGGAGCAGAGTTTGAAATTAAATACTTTGAGACTAACAGGAATAAAAGAAGAGCAAAATGAAAATCTTACATCCAAGGTACTAACTCTTATTAATGACTCACTGCATGTAAAATGTGCCTTATGGGAATTAAATAATCTATTTAGGATTGGAAAAGTAGTTGTTGAGATTGATCAGTCCAAAAATAGGACATGTTAACGCTCCCTATGATTGTCCACGCCACTGACACCCCTCATCAATTTGACCGTCCAAGCAGCGAGCCATATACCTCTTGCCCCTTCTTCCCGGAATGGATACAGGCGAGCATCGGTCACCGTTTTGTAGTTAAAATGTATTTCACTTCGCCTTGAACAGTTGTCGGTGCATTATGTAACAAACATTGAAATATATAGTTTAAATTTTATCAGCGTTTATGTCTCATTTCAACAACTCGAAAGCAANTATCGTACGTATTTGAAAGCAGTTTCCCCAATTATTCGTGTTTAAATATACATAAGCATTTCAAAATGGATGAGAATTTAGGTCGGTTAAAAGCTTTAAGAACCCAATCAAAAGCTAAGCTCACACGTTTTAATACATTTATTGACAAGTTTACTAACGATAAATTATACCAACTAGAAGTAAGGTTGGATGACATTAAACCCGAGAAAGACAACTTTTTAGAAATTCAACTGAAGATAGTGTCACTAGATCCAACAGAGGCGGGGAAAAGTGAACAGGAAAATTTTGGAGAAAAATATTACGAAGTGGTAGGGTTAGCACGGGAAAAAATCGCGGATTGTTATAAAATGCCTCAAGGGCAAAGCCCAACGCCGCCCAATCAAACCAATTTGAAACCAAACGTAAGGCTTCCAACTATGGATTTACCTGAGTTCGATGGAGTTTATGATCACTGGGAGCATTTTAGAGACATGTTTGTAGCACTAGTGCACGACGACGTTTCTATGGACAATATTAGAAAATTTTATTATCTTACTAATGCTTTGACAGGATCGGCAGCTAAAGTAATAAAATGTATCAAGGTAACAAACGATAATTACCCAATAGCCTGGGATTTGCTCAAATCGCGGTTTGAAGATACAGAAATAATAATTAGAAATCATGTCAGAGCATTAGTGGAGATGCCGGCGGTCGAAAAAGATATAAAGATTGGTCTAAGAGAGATAACGGATGATATTCAAGCACATGTAAGATCACTAAAAACTCTAGGAGAGAAAGTGGACCAATGGGATACACTCTTAGTTTATCTTATATGGAAAAAATTAGATTCAGGTTCTAAAGATGAATGGGAGGTATACCTTGGTAAGAAAAGCATTAAACGCCCAACTTATCAAAATATTATAGAGTTTTTACAAGAACGTTGCCAATTATTAGAAAAAAGGAATAAGACTGAATCATCGGAATTAGCTAGAAATCAGAGTAGTAGAAAGTTTGAAAATGAAACAAAAAGTGACAGGTTTTCCAAATTTCATTCTAAAAAATATGTCAGTAACGCAGCGGTAAAATCGAATTATTATTGTAACTATTGCAACGACAACCACAATATATACTTTTGTGAGAAATTTAAGTCGCTACCAGTGGCGTCTCGCATAACAGAAATTAAAAAATTAAAATTATGCATGAATTGCCTACGCAACAATCACTTCAGCAAAGAATGTTTGTCATCGGGTTGTAAAAAATGCTCAAGGAAGCATAACACGTTATTGCATGTCGAAAATAC